TACGAGCAGCTTTGCTTTCTTTACTCCTGTGCTACTCTACTCTACTGATGTGCTGCGCATGCGCTACTCAATACTGCGCATGCGCATTAATTTTCACCAGCCCGGTTACGACTCAGTGGAAACGAGTAGAAATGAGTCTTAGAAAGCTGATAAAAGACACCCAGAAGAAGACAAATCGTAAGTTAAAGACATGTTTAGGAGTCTTGTTACTATTTTAAATGTAGCTTCTTACTTTTTGAAATACTTTAAGCAAGACGATACTTATTCTATTGTGAAAGCAAACTGTGTAGAAGTTGAGCAGCTGGAAGCTGGTACCTCCTGCAGAGTAAGGGATGGAAAGGACTTTCATGATGGCACAATAGTCACCTTTGGTAACACTGTACTTTAATTTTTAGTCAATAGCTGCACATATAATTTTCTAGGAGATAAGAAAGATGTAAGTAATGCAGCAGGTGATATTATTGAGAAGATTGAGAATGAGTCAGCGGAGAATATGGAGAAAGAGTCAGCCAAGAATATGGAGAAACAGTCAGCTGAGAGTATGAAGAATGAGTCAGACTACAAAGCGTGGCACAATAAAAAGGAAAGCTAAGAAAAGTGAGATGGTATATAGTATTACTAACCCTACATGTAAATTCACATCAACATGTAGGTACCACCGAATAAAGAAACCTAAAATAGAAAAAGGAAAGGAAGGTGAAGGTACATAATGCATTAAAAAGGTAATTTATTATAAAAACTTAAAACAGAAATGCACAGTTAATATTGTTGCTGTTGGTTGTGCTACAAATAATGAATCTGCTGCAAATAATGAAGCAACAAGCTTCAACACTGGAGATCCTTCTAAGCATATGAGTATCAGTAAGATTAAATATAATAATAATTATTGCTATTGTTTTACTTGTTATTATTAGAAGCAAGAAAACCTTCAGAGAGAAAAGAGGCAGATTCCAGTGAAAGAATTCTTTGTCATAGCCCTCCACCACTTCCACCACCACTTGCACTGGTGGAGCTTAAAACTCAAGCTGCATGTAGTACTGAAACAGGTGAATTGTTTTACAAGTACCTGTACAAATTTAGTAACATTAATAACATATTACTTGATTATCACAAACAATTAATGTTGTTTTGTTTAGAGGTTATATACTGTCTCTAATTAGAAGAATGGAAATTTTAGAAGAACAGAGTATCATGGTGCGATCCCAATTGGGTTGCTTAACATACCATTTCTTTGGAAATACTAGCATGAACACAAGGGTTAGTATTCAGTAATAATTATTAGAGATTAGTAATATCCTATTAATATTCTAGGCAGGTACTCTGCTACATACATGAACAGTAATGGAAGTACTCCTAGTGCCCCATCTGCTTGTAATCTACCTCAGCATACTGATCCAGTAACTCCAACTAATGAGCCAGTAAAGGCAATCATCACCAATACTACTGTGCACACT